TGGATAAGCAAGTAGTGAATATAATGATCTTCTAGCATGCCACTCTTCGTTATTTTGGAATTCAAACCCGTATAGATTTTTAGCTAAGGAAAAAGAGGGTCTAAGTGAATAGGATCTTTGTATTGAGCTAAAAAATAAAGACATAAAGTCTTAAAAAAACATCACTAAATTTTTATAGATTTAAAAATTTACGGAATTCTAAGCGTCACACAAAGTAGAAAGATACTAATTTGTTGCGTCTACGTCCCGGAGCTACTGTTGTAACCAATTTCGATCTAGAAATTAGATAACATGAAAGGATTTACAAGACGAATACATGGATTAGAATGTGGATAGGTGATGGTTGATTGAGAGACGGGGGAATTATGGGTAAGAGGTGGGTTGAAAATGGGTGGGGTTTAAAGTAAAATCAATTTGTATATAGATAGAAAAACCTGACCTGGTAGAGCTTTAGTTTGGACATACATTATGAATAAACGTGTATATACGTAACAAGTAATTGTTTAGTACGTGGCTATATACTGATCTCAATAAGGCAAGAACAGCTCTTGCTGCCCGGGAAATCATCAGCGAGCCACTCTTTAATTTTGACAGCCAAATCCCGTTCATCACACTCAAAGGGACTACATAATCTCCGCGGTTTACAACAATAACAACATACTAACTTTTATCAATTTCATTTATTCACTATAATTAAACTAAAATTTAACTAACTTTATTAAAATAATATAACTTTATTATTAAATATTTTCAGATAATGGTTCTATATTAAGATCTCCTATGAAAAACGCTTCCTTTAATGAAAAAACCAAACAATTCGGTAGTGTCTCAAGCGTTAAAACAAATTCACCTAGAAAACTTGATTCGTCGAAACCCAAGTCAACACCAAAGGAAGAAGTTAAGATTACCAATTCCCGCACTCAAGTCATACCTCAAACTCAGCATGCGTTCGAGTTGGCGCTAATGGAAACAAATATCGGTGGTAACCTTTGTGAATGCTGCAAAAAGCCACTTATAGCTGCTGCGGCATATTGGAAATGTAGAGCATGTAAGACTGAAGTACATCGCAAATGTCGAAGTACATTTAAGACAGCTTGCGATGGCGTCAGTGCTGTTCTCTCGGGTAGTAGCGAAAATAAAAATGATGTCTCGAAAAGTACAGCAACTAAAGCTACGGCCCACAATAATGACTCAACAGAAAGTCAAGCTGACACTAATTCAATAGATAAATATTCTTACGAAGGTAAACTAGAAAGTGACACTGAAACTCAATCCGAATGTGGTAGCGATGTTTTTGATACTTTAATTCTTATCATGGATGAGAAAAATGCACATAAATTGGTGGAAATAAATTGTGCTTATGAGGCAGATGATAATCAAATCCTACTGCTTGGTTGTAAAACTGGTTTATATGCTTATCATTTGCAAACACAACGTATGGTTCACATTGTGGGTATAGAGTCAGTGAGTTGCATAGCTATAGCAGAGGCTTTATCCAAAGCCATACTCGTTAGCGGTAGTGGTGATTCAATATTCCAGTGCGATTATCGGCAACTGCTCACACGTTGTCAATCGAACACAAGCATTAAATCTCCACTGGAAGGATCAGTAATTGATTTACCTTTTGCAAATCGTGCACAAGATGAAAGATGGGTTTTAGTTAAAATGTCCAATGAGACTGAAAACGCGTTAGACACGGTAGCTATGGCGGCTACTTCAACACGTATTGTCATAATGAAGTACGATGTTAAATTACAAAAGTTTAAGCCGGTACGTGCTTTAGACACTACCACACCAGTAATATCAATTATTTTCACACGCCATACGGCTATTGTAAGTTCGGATAAGTTTTTTGAAATTGATTTGAACAGCTATGCGGCGGAGGAATTTGTTGATCTTTCCGATGCATCACTGATAAATACCAGCGCGTGTCATCCTGTCGAAGCTATACAGATATCACAGCAAGAATTTTTGTTATGCTTTATGGAATTTGGTGTGTTTGTTGATGAGTATGGTTGTCGATCACGTCCATATGATTTATTATGGGAATATACGCCAACGGGTTTTATGTATCAGGAACCATTTCTTTATGTTGCACATTTTCAAAATGTACAAATAATTCGCTTGCATCGTTCATATTCGAATGAAGTGAACAGCGCTGGAGGTAAAAATTCTAAAACTGCTACAAATGGTGATAATGACATCACATTGCCACAACACAAACGTGTGTACTTGCCTTTCTACACGCCCACTTTACTAACTAAAAGCGGTAAACGTAATTTATATACACTCGCGCTACAAAAGGAGAATGGCTTGCAACAGATTAATCACATCGATGCATTACAAGCGTTCAAACAGAAACTCAATGAATCACTGGATACTGTTTCGTCAATAGCAACGGGCATTTCATTGGGTTCACTGACCACGCTTAATAGTACATAAAATTGCATATATTAAGTATAACTACAAATGTTGTTGTACGAGTTAAATATATTATTCTATTTTTGTTTTTTGCTTAACGTGTACAATAAACTGACTAAATATTTTTACATATTTTATAATAAATTTTTAAGCTACGTTTTAATTTTACTTTGACTTGTACATGTAAACTTATTTAATCTTTTTTTTAATTAATTATTTTAAAGAAAAAAATTCAATTTGTATTTACAATTTGTAACCACAGAAATCACAAAATATTGTTTTCATTATTTGAAAATAAAATTTATTTAATTGATAATAAAATTTACTCAGCAAAATGTTATGTGTATTAAACGTTTATTACTATTAGGTTAGATTGGAGTAGCAGGCTTGTGTACCAACGTTTACTTGAACACCAATAATGACTTGTTGGAATACCACATATGAGTCACCGTTTGTATGACGGATCTAAAGAACTACCTTAAAGATAGAAAACCGAAACAGTTAACCACACGAAAAGCGTCCCTTTGAGAAGGCGCGACTTCGCTATTCAAATGAAAGGGAACCAACTTGACAACTTTTAAAACTTAGCTATGCCCCTAATTTTAAAAAATAAGGATTCTGTTAGGTCTGTTAGAAAAAGAAACTTAAATATTATGAATCTGCTTCTAGCCAATGTTGGTCGGTAACATATGAATATAGTTTTCTGCGCAGACATTGAAGTATAGACCAAGCTGTACTTATACGCAGTGACCTTTGAGCACCGATTTCGTAGTTGGTTCTGTTTTAGTTTAAGCAACAAACTGTTATAAATTTTTTCCAATTTAACTCAGGTGAGCCTGTGATCTTGCAAGCTTCTTCATCTACCTATGTTATAAATATATAAATATTAATTATAAATATAAATAAATAACTATAAATATATGAATATAAATATGAATATATAGATAAAGTGTGTTTGCAGGCTAATTGGTCAAATATTTTATTGTTGTTAAAAAAACAATTTAAGATAAAAAAATCTCGATTTATTTTACGAAAATTTTTATTTCATCGATATTTTGACTTTATAATAGTTTAAAATTTTTCTTAATTTTTATATTCAACAGCAATAAAAAATTTTACTAATTATCCTGAAAAATCGTATAATAATAAATATTATAAATATTAAATTTAAAATATTATATATTAAACTTCAAATATTAAATAATATATATTAAATATCAAACATTCAATATCAAATATTAAATATCAAATATTATATATATTAAATTTTAAATATTAAATATCAAATATTAAATAATAAATGTCAAATATTAAATATTAATAATTTTATATATTAATTATCAGATAATAAATATTATATATATTAAATATTAAATAACTAATTTCAAATGTTATACATAAATTAAATAAATTAAATATCATTAAATATTAAATAATAAATATTAAATAATAAATATCCAATATTAAATACCAAATATTTAATATTAAGTATTAAATATTATATATTGTTAATAATATATTAATATTAATAATAAATATTAAATAAATAATATTGAATATGTAATATTAAATATTAAGTATTAAATATTATATATTAAATATAAAATAATAAATATTCAATATTTAATACCATGTATTAAATATTAAATAATAAATATTAAATATAATATATTAATAATAAATAAATTTATGAGAAAATATTTTTAAAATAAATCGTATTTGATAATTTATTGTTTATCAATTGTTTGTTAAAAAACAAAATTATTATTAAATCGAATTTGTTTAAACTGCTTATATTTAAAAATAAAATTAGCTGATATATGAGTTTATTTCTAGTTTTAGAGCCTCTTTACACAGCCCAAGTAATCATAATTTTGATTATTATTCTCTTATAATAATTCTTATGAACTATATCAACTATAATATATGACAATTGTCATTTTTGATCCTGAAGAAGCGAACAATCAATCCAAATTTTTTTTTATTTTATAATTTCAAACACTTAAAATAATATTATATACAAATAATTCCTTAAAAAAAACATATAAGCAATCATTACTTGTTATTTAAATATATATGTGTGTAATATATAAAAACAACAAAAGTATTTTCCTCTACGAGCATTACTACGAAAAGAAAAAATTAAGATATTATTTTCTGTGTGAACAGGTTTTTAGCAAAATGTACATTTAAAATACGAAAAGAATAAACATTATTAGATATTATAATTACTTGTGTAAACAGGTTTTTAGCAAAATGATTTAAAAACGTACATTTAGAAATTACAATTATTTGTGTTAATTGAATAAGCAAAATATCATTAAAGTGCATTCAGACTTATTTGTTTGAATATTTTAATAAATAACGAGCTCAATCTGAATACACAAATTGTACTCAATGTGTGCTATATTTTTATTTCAAATACAACCGTGTATAATGATTTGCATTCTCTATTACAATTTGTATTGAAACATTGGAATGGAAAACAATGCTACCAATTTTTAATACCAAAAGTATAAGAAATGTATGGAACGGTATTTTAAGTAGGAACGGCGCCATATTGCGCAGCAACATATTGAAACAGAACACACATAAAGACAACGGCGACTGAAGCGGACCGAATCACAGATAGATTGTGGATATAAATTAATTTTCACTTGCTATATCGCCATTTGTGCGACGTTGTAAAAACGCATTTCACATCGTATGCGTAAAGATTAAATATATACTAAACAATAAATAGAAAACCTTCTGAAAAAGTTTTTTTGTGGTAAATTTAATTGAGAAGACTAAAAAATTAAAAAAAGTCACTTCAGCAGACCATTGGACGTGACACCCACCGCGGCGCTTTATATATTTGGCAAACGCGGTATTTGTTTTTTTTTTAAGTTCAGTGATTATAATTTTGCAAAATGAGTAGTGGGATGCCTGAATTGGGCTCGAAGATCAGCCTTATATCCAAGGCTGATATACGGTATGAGGGTCGTTTGTTCACTGTTGATCCGGCTGAGTGCACTATAGCGTTATCCAGTGGTAAGTAACACCCACATTTTTGCGTTCTTTAAAAAATATATTTTATATTACAAAACATTTCTAAAGTAATTTTATTAAAAAAAGTACATAGGCCGTGTAATATATTAAGTTGATAATGTGAAAAAAAACGGTACTCAGAAATATAAAATGGTTTCACTCGTTTTTGCCGTTTCATCTTAGATTTATGTTCGCTGTCTTTTTCCTCTGCTTAAGTTGTTGGCAGCGGTTGCTTTCATACGCTTTTTGTTGTTTTTTTTTTGGTTTTTGCTTTCTTATGCCGAAATGTGGACATTTGTTTTTTATTTTTAATAAAAGTTATTTACAATTCTGTTTAATAAAAATTAAATTTTAATTATTATTACTAATTTTAATAATAGTAATTGCAAATAATTTCTATTTTTTTGTTTTTTTTTTTTTCTAAATTTACAGTAAATTTTATTTTTAAACAAAAAGGGGTCACATTTTTGGTTAGGTTATTTTGCCCGCTATTTCCAATGATAACGGATTTATTTAGTTTACCGTAATATGTCCTTGAATTGAACGCTAAATGGTAGCGTAAAATGCATTTTATTAAATTTAAAAATATATTCAGATCTATTAACTTTATTCAAATAAACATGATGAAATTTAATTGCAACCAACAACGTTATAAAACGTGATTATACCGACATTTTTATATATTTTCTAGACAAAGATTTCTATAAGAACTCTGCTTTTTTTTTTATAATTATTTAAAAATTTTTATAACTTTTTATATATATAAAAACTAATTTTCTGTCAAGATCTTACTTATTATTATAAATAATTTTGTAAATATTTAAAAAAAAAATTAATTGATAAAATCCATTTTTTACTAGGTATGTTCTATTTTCAAGTTTTTAGATTTTTTTAAATAAAAATTGAATTTTTATGTAATATCTTTCATATAAAATAAATAGTATTGTTCCGGTATATTTTGTGCTTATAAGAAAGTTACACTGGTACGCGTGATATATTATTGAAGTTTAAGTTAATTTTGATTTAAATATATTTTATATCTTATAGTATCTTATAGTAATTAAATAATTACTTAATTGTCGTAACAATTTATTATCAATATTTTATTATCCACATTTACTTATCTATATAGAATCTATAGATTAAGTGATCTATAGAGTATATATAAGTATATATATTTAGCCCACCTATCCATATATACATATAGGCTCTGCTGCAGTTACTCGCTGTTTATAACAACATTATATGTTATATTATGATATTACTTACAGAATTCGAACCATATACTCATAAGGTACTCTATGTTGATGGAGTGTGATAATGACACACAATATTAAGTCCATTTCCACAAAGTTACTTTATACCATTTTGATCTTATGATTATAGCTTTTCATCTAAACATAGGATATTTTTAGTAACAGCTTTTAGAACAAGATCTATATAATGTATTATGTGTCAGTTTGATATTTAGATATCCATATGCATACAGCTTGTAATCAATAAATCGCCAATCGTCGTCTATTAATTGTAAACTATATTATTTCATTTGTTTAATTTTATAATATGATTTGTAGCGCTTTATTTGATTAAAAAGTTTTCAGCACTATCTTTTAGAATAGTAAACATATCTATATAAACTATTATGTGCCATCTTGATTTTACAATATTTCTAAAAGTTAGTATGTATTATCTTCATCTTAAGATATGTATTGTAGATTTTTTTAAAAATAATGAATAATCTCAGAATAGGTTTCAGAATAGGATCCATAACTATATAAACTGCTATTTATCATCTTCATTCTATGATATGATTTGTCGAATTTCATCTGTGTATAGTATTTATATTCAGTATTTGCTTATAAAATAGAATCCATATCTATATAAACTATGTGTACCATATTGAAGTTGCGATATCCATATAAGCAACTATGTAACATCTTCATCTAGTGACATAGTTAGTACTTTTCTATTTGAAAATAACACCTCAAGAATAATTTTAGTTGCATTCTCATATCTGATATGCACATGCTAGTAAGATTATAATGTGCAAATCAATATAAAGAAGAGGTCACATTTCGAACAGTATTGGCTTATATTCTGATACTCCAGGAGGTATTTCTAACAAATATTCCTAAATGTCGAAATATTCCTAATATTGATATCGAATATACCAAGATTTTAGGAATAATATGGTGTTTAGTATTAATATGTATTTCCTGTTACAAAGAACAAACTAAATCTTTGAAAATATCTTGTTTGTAAATAGGAATTTAGCTTAGTTTGGTTAAAATAATATTTAACTACTTCTTTCTGCATTCTGCTTTTTTTTTTTCCTTTCACACAATACGTCATGTTAAGAATTTTTATTAACCCTTATACTTTAACTTTTTATTTTATTCCCATTTTACTTTGTTTTACCTTATCTATATTGTTTTAATTCATCATAATACCACAAATATGAAAAATACAATTTTAGTATTTCGAAAGTAAATTTATAATAAAAATCCTAAATGTAAATCACTTAATTATATTATTAATACATTAAAAATGCCATACTGTCCTCCTAAATGCAATTCATATGAATTGCGAAGTAAACTCCTTCATTCTGTACATAAGCAGTTAGTGTTCAACTTGAATGATATCAAATAAAATAAAACTCAAAATAATAGCATTAAAAAGAAAAATAAAAGAAAAAAAACCAAAAAAAAAGAATATTAAGAATTGTTTAAGAAAGTTTGAAAAGTATTTATAATTTCCAATTTCTTAAAAAAACTAATTTAATACCTATTTTTTAACTGTCAACTAAGATAATATTGTATATATAATTAAAAATAATTAATTCTTTTTGTATTTTTATTTTCAGTACGCTCATTTGGCACTGAAGATCGTGAAACACAATATCAAATTGCTCCACAAAGTCAAATATATGACTACATTCTGTTCCGTGGTTCCGATATAAAGGATATTCGTGTTGTCAATAATAGTCTACCAACTGATCCAGCAATAATGCAAGTTCAAATACAAAATGGTCAACATGTAATGCACAATTTTCCAATGCCGAATGTTAGTTCATCACATACAACTCCAATCGGTGGTACAGCATATCCATTTGGTAATATTGGTGGTCTTGGAAATTTGGGTAATAATAATCAAGCAGCAGCTCAACCATTGGCACCTGGCTCTGGTGCTCCTGGACCATTTATGCTTGGTAATCAACAACAACAGCAGAATCAACAATCACAGCAAATGCAACAAAAACCACAAGCCCAACAGCAGCAACAGGTGCAGCAACAGCAACAACAATCGCACCAAAAGCAACCAAGTGAGTTAAATCACCCAATCACCCTACTCAACAATCAACAGCAGCAGCAACAACAGGCACAGTCACAATCACAATCACAACAAAAAATCCAACAAAATTCAACCGCATCCATCATTCCTTCTCCCAAAAAAGCACAGATTAATCCTGCTGAATCCAATAATAAAATATCAAAACAATTAACTCAATCATTCTGTGGCAGTGGCAGTGGCAGTACCAATGGCGTTGGTGTTGGTGTTGGTCTAATTAGTGGTATTGGTGGTTTAGGTGGTGCTCACTCTACTTCTAACACCTCGATGAAATTAAATTCTAATGCAGCACTTACTGAACACAAAGCTCAAGATGGTAAATCTATCTATCACGTAGCAGCGCTTTTCAGATTGTTAAAAACTTTCGTTTTTAATTTTGCTTTCCTTTCTTTTTATTATTCATACTACAATTGCTTATATCACATTTCGTAAATATTTATTTATTTATATTTTTTGTATGGTTTTGTGTTCAACTTTAATTTTTGTTAAAAAACTTCTAAGTTTTTTCTTATTTTGTGCTTTACAATTTGTTGCCGGTGTTGTAGAGTTGGTCTTGTCTGATAATATGACCGATAATATTTTTAACTAATACTGTTCCATCACCTATAAATATCAAGGCTGTGATCTGTATACATTTCTGAAGTGATTTGCTTGAGTGGTGGTTGGTACCTTTAATGGTTCGATACTTTCGATTATTGGTTCAGTCCAACAACCGATTACTTTCATCTCCGGGCTAGTAGTTCTGACAGAATTTTTATGGTTCAATTCAGTATACTAAAAAGTCGTAGGAGTCAGAACTAGTTAGAACAGAACAATCCTAATATATATACATAAATTATTCACTATTTTAATTAAATTATTAATGAAATTTATATTAATATTATAAATTTTTCTATATATATAACTATGCATTACTTCACATGCTTAAGTAAAATTTTAATTTTTCGTGTGTAATGTTTTTATGTCTTAATGTGAAAAAAGCTTTCCTATCTCTAGCTTTAACTAACTCATATTAACATTGTGAACATATCCTCCATACAATTGAAAATATAGTCATATGCACCAAATTATATACAATTACAAAAAATTTATATATAAATATTAAAAAACTGCCTAAGTAATATTACTGACTGCTCCTATAGCAATTTCTTCCAAAAGAGATTAGCTTTTTACTATGTTTCTATATGCCACAACAATGGAATAACTGAGTTAAGTGAGTTCATGTGTATACCATAATCTAGGTCAACTCACGTCATCCATCAAACTTTTATGCCTGTTTATATTTAATGTTTTATAATTTTTATTTTAATCTTATATTAATATTTGTTTTAATTTCTTTTTCATTTTCGATTTGTTTTATAAATTGCACTGAAAATTCACGATTTTACACAATTGGACAAAAAAATTTTGCTTTAAATTAAAATTGCAAAGTTTCTGTTCTAGACATGCTTGCCGGTGCTTCGCGATCTACAACGCCTTTAAGTCTTGCTTCTAATCCAATTGGTGATTTGGGACTTCAAGGTAATCAAGAAGATGATGACGTAATACCGCTTGCGCCCCCTATTCGACGTAATCAAAACAAAAGTAACAATAATGCTGGACATGTTGGAAATACTCGTGATGCTGGACATAAGCGACAAAATCACCAACAACAACAACAACGCGGTCGTAATGGTAATAACAACCATGATTATTACAATCAGCAGCAACGCGATCGTCGTGATTTAGGCCGCAATCTTGATAATTATAATAATCAGCACCATGATGGACGTAACAATTATAATAATCAACGTAATATGCATCAAGGAAATCAAGGTCGTTTGTGGAATATGCACCGTGGACCCAACAACATTAATATGATGAGAAATCGTGGTATTGGAGGACGTGGCCGTATGCCAAATCAAGTAAGTATTTTTTTTAATATGTTATAGTTTCATATTTATTATTTTGTAACTAATTTTTTTTGTAGGGTTTCCGACCAATGGGTGTACCAGGTGGTAATCCGATTAAACAGCGTAACAATAAAAACACTATTAAATTTGAACAAGATTTTGATTTTGAACAAGCTAACAATAAGTTTGAGGAATTATGCTCCAAATTAACCAAATGTAAAATGGGTGAAGAACCAAAAACCGAGCAGGTAATTAATTTTTTCTTGCTTAAATTGTATGTTTATGAGTTTAATTAAATGAAATTAAACCAAAATTTAGATGCATTTTTATAAAATGATAATATATTGACAAACTTCCTTAACTCTAATTTTCTTTAACCCAAATTTTCTATAACTCAAACTAAAAAGAGTGCTACAGGGTTTAGAAACCAAATTTTCATACAATTACAAAAGAATTCTTTAACTCGAAATCTCCATAAGTCGAATCTACTCTTTGCAAAATAGTACTTCGAGTTATGAAATTTTGACTATTTAATTTCTGAATTATTTTTTTCTCTTTTTGATATATATTTATTTTATTAGAGTTAGTATATCGTCTCATTGTAGTAAAAACTAAATAATATTTTAATTAAAGAATATTTATACTGATTGATTGTCAGTTTGGTTTGATTGATAAAAGGGGTTGCTGCAAAGAGAAATTTACCCACTGTACATACTGGTGGGTCTATTTGCTTATCATAAGTTAAACTGAGGCTAATTTAAAAGTTATATTTACCATTAGTTTAGCATAGCAACTGTTATAATTTATGTTAGGAATTGATATTGAATGTTATATACGAATTTATCAAATTGCATCGTGCCCTGCGATGGACATTAAATGTATCTCCTAATTTCACATGACTTTTATTGACCTCATTCAAGTCTGGAATTTTAAACTAATAGATGTTGGTTGAATCGGTAACTATAAATTGTCTGAGCTAGCCTTAGGAGACTTTTTAATATTAGCACAATAGATTTTTTGTTATATGAATAGAACCCGTATCGAATAAATACCGGCTAAATAGGGCTAACGCTTAAAGGCGCCCTATTAATCACCTCAGGTATTTACCTCCATCTGGTTTTATTTTTTCCTTAATTGCCATCAAATTAACATGTGTTTTTCTCTATCTTCGTTAAGACCCTTTATCGAACTTATGTCTGTCACGATTATGTTCCGGAACCAGTTCGATCTTCATTTATTTTTTAAAGTGTTATTTTTTTTTCCTTCTAGTCAGAAGTAACAAACCTATTATAATTAATACATTGATGTAAATATTAAATCCTATTAGAAAATATTTAAAAATAAAATAATAGCAAAATGTTTGAATTGACTATAAAAATAAATTTAGTATGGTTTATATTTAAAGTAAATTTCTGTAAATTTACATTTCTTGCGAAATGTAAGAATATAATGTTGGTATTACCCAACAAGTATGATTAAAATCTATTAATGAAATTAATAATTACTAAACATTGAAAGTAGAAGAGTGGAATTGAGTATAGACTTATGAAATTGACTAAATGTCATCATATATGAATAATTTATGTTATATTTTTTTCTAAAGTAATATAGATTTTGATCGTACTATACATTTTTTAGTTTTTCATCATAGTTGTTATACATACATCGATTTCTATAAGACTGTATTATTGTTAGGATTTTATTGTTTACACTAATTATAGTTTATTTTTACTTGAAAGATAAGCTTAAGGTTTCGATTGTAATGCCCAACTGTTTTTGAGTTTGTTATTGTTCACTTAAAACATTACCATGCGTGTGTATTTGAAATTGAAGATTTAGATTAAATTAGACTGCTTTCTATTTCATTTTGTTTTAATTTTTTATAAAAGTTTTATAAAAGTTTTTATAACTTCTTATAGTTGAAGAACGGATATCTGAACGTCAAAAATTTCGAACAGTTCGAATAATATTTGAAGCACTAATATACACCAATTTTTATAGTGGTCTATTTCTACCCGAAGCTATACATTACGATTGTACTATTTATTTTTATTTAGAACATATTCTTCAAATTGTGTTCGTCATATATTCACTTTTAATATATATTATATATATAAATATTTTAACATCTTGAAAATATTTTAGATAAACTTTCTTATATATAATAGGAATCATATTATCGATCACTAAACTATTTTATATTAATTTATAAATATATAATTATTTATGAGTCATTATGATCTTCCTCATCAATAGATGCTTGTTCAGTATGATCTTGCTCATCATATAAATCTGCATCACTTTCATGTCCTTTGCTTGAGTGCTGTTGCTGCTGTTGTGCGTTCTCATGCAATCCAATGGTAGCATGTGCACCTGCCTTTGATGCATTCACTTGTGCTTCTGCAGCGGCGGAAGCTGCTTTGAATGTTGCTTCCTTGGTAGCCTCATAATCTACGCGCGCTTGCTTAAGTTGTTCTTGTATATGCTCTAAACGACTTTTAGCTTGTCCCACCATTGTTGATTGTGAAGCAAGTTGGTTAGAAACTTCATTGGATGTTTTATCGGCGTGTTCTGCTACAGATTTGGCATCATTCAATGCAGCTGTTATAACGGAAACATGATTATAAGCTGATTGTGCTGTTTCTTTAGCCATTTTTGCAGCCATTTTTGCTGCTTTAAATTGTTCCAATTCACGTTCTAAAGCACGTGCTGCTTCAGCCGCTTCCAGTTCTAACTCTTCCAATAACACCTTTTTACCTGTCAGGGCTGCTTGTGCTGTAGCAGCCGCTTGGGTGGCAGCCTGTGCTAAGGTATTTTTAGCTATAAAAGCTGCTTGTTTAGCTGCTGCATATTGGCTTGCCACAGCTGTATAAGCTTGGTTTGCTGAACCTTGTGCAATTGATCGAAGACCGCTGCCGATACTGTATCCTGACTTAGATTCACTTCCGGAATTGTGTGAATTTCCTGACGTTTGTTGATAGTGATAGTAGGAATCCTCATTTTTTTGTCCATGACTAGTTGTTTCCTCATGTGTTGGTGAAGTATAATGTCCATATATTGTACTGTGTTGTGCGCTGGGTACTTGTTTGTAATAATATCCATTGCGTTTAGGTAGTCGTGCCGTTATCAAAGTACAGTGAAAAGCTGCGAAAAAGTTCAAAAAGGTAAAACACATATCCGATTAAAATTTTAATTAAATTTTAATATACCAAGCAAAAGGCAGCATAATCCAAGCAAATTAATTTGAGAGTTCATTATCAATCGACTGTTTTGTAATATTTGTGGTTCGCTTTATCTTGAGCTGAGGTTTTATATCAATTTTGTTTATCTATAAAAGTTATTGCACCGTAACAGCTTTCGGTCTCGTTAGTTTGCGGTTATGTATTTCTTGAATTTAATTTGCATATCTCAGCTTTATTTTCTTTTTATTTTGTTCTTCATTTCTTATAATTTTATTAGACGCGTTTAGGAAGCACCTTTCTTAATATTTTCTTGTCACGAATGTTTTGTTTTATGAGTTAAGTTAAAAAAAAAAATTAAATTCGGAACAGAAAGTCGGTGTAAAGTGTGAAATAATGCACCACCTTAAATTAGAGTGAAGCGGAAACTATTGGATTTATGGCTTATTATACTTTATATACAATATAATGTATTGTTTACATTATATGGTATCAATTTCGATAGGTAGAGGTAGATGCTTCTAGTTTATATTAAAGTTGTTATTTGTTATAATATTTTTATATTAATTTTTGTTATTTTTTAGTTTGTTATTTTTTTGTTTTATGATCGACTTTCTTATTGTATTTATCTTTCAATTTTTATGAGAAATTTTTTATAAAAACAAAGGACAATAATAAATATACACCCTAAAAAAACTATTTACAAAATTTTATTATACATATATATTTACTTGCATTTCAGATTAATGGTAGTGAAACTGATAAAAAAGATGATTCTGGAAATGAAACTGGTGCTGGCGAGCATGAACCTGAAGAAGATGAGATCACCGTCGGTTATGATAAAACGAAATCTTTCTTTGACAATATTTCATGTGAAGCACAAGATCGCACCAAAAATAAGAAGAATGACTGGCGTCAAGAGCGCAAATTAAATAGTGAAACTTTTGGCGTATCCTCAACAAGACGTGGCGGGTAAGTTAAATCATATAAAAATTTTTGCAATATTGAAATGAATTGGATTTTATATTGCGATTTTTTTCTCCCTGAGTAGCATAGAATTTAATGATTTATCTGAATACGATACAAAGAGACAGGGTCTTGTTTTAAATTTGGCTAAGGTCTTTAAAATCCCACATGCTTTAAAAAAGTCTTCAAAATATGCTTAGTAGCTATATCTCAATATAAGGGCTTTAAAAACGCGTGAAAATGCCTACTACAAAAACTAAATTTTATAGAGCTTCAATTCTATCTGGTATCCGTTGGAACCAAAAACTGTGACTAGCTTAATTTCTATTCATATTTGGATAATACATAAAAGATTTAGCACTTATACTTTATTATTCGCGAAAAGTCCCTAACTAAAACTTATAATATATAAATGGTAATTTAATTTCTAAACCCACAGATTATAACAAGGTGAATGGTCTGTTAACCGGAATCGGACACGAGAGCAATTCTGTCTATTATTCTCTAGTTATAAAAAGAACATTAAAAAGTGTGTGATACATTTTAACAAGCAACTTGCAATTTTAGATGTTTATAATATTTGATTGTTTAGACCTATGTGGTCCTAAAGTACTACGTGATTACTTTTATTATAGTATTATATTTATTTATAATACTTGATTGCAATATGCATATATGTTTTCTTCCGTTTGTTTTAGCCTGGGTAGACATAAGTGTTTTAAAATGCTTAAGTAAATATGCATAATATTTCAAATTTAACAAAACAAATATAGCCTTCATTTCTATATTTATATATAAATATTTAATAGTTATTTGTAAACTTATTATATATTAGATTTTTACGTATTTGTCTTAGAAGTGTTAGAGCATTAATATTCATCAAGCTGTTCAAGTATATTCGAATTCGAACTTATCAACCGAACATTTAAAATGCTTCAGCTATTCGAAGATGTTTGCGTTGTTCTGTTTTTTATACAAATTTGTATAACACAAAATATTCGAATACACAAACGCCTTTGGACATTTGCGGGCGGATCTAAATAATCGAATGGAAATACATTCGAACACCAAAATGCTCGAAGCTTATTTACAGCTTCGAATAGCTGAATTAATATTTGAAGAAATATAAATACCTAATATAAATTTTAAACAATACTATAGAATGGAAATAAAAATAATAACATAATATAATTGTTATACATATTTTATTAATATATTAATTTATAAATAAAATGTATGATACGTACACGTTCTTGTTTGTTTAGCTGAAGTATTTATACTTCATAGCAAACTTCACACAAGTGATTATTGAAACGAATTTAACTTTTGTGATTTTGAACGCTCGTTTTATAGATAGAAAATATTTTCTTACTTTTTTTTTATCTTTTTAATTAACGTAATCGTTAATATAAAATAAGTCTTTTAAAAGCGGGTCGCGCCTATCATTGCACTATAATGATGACTCATGAGCAACTCTTTTTGTTAGGTACATAGGTAGGAATCATACTAATAAAATATAGGTATGCATGAATGATTTTCGTTTACAGTCAATTCATGTGTACCCACGCATTGCCATATCTTATTGCATAAGCGAGATATTATAAGTACCGACCAATAATAAACAAAACCTATAAATTTCTCTTTCGAAAAGAGCGATAAAATCAATTGATGTTCGTAGTTGCGTTAAAAAATTGTCTTATTTGTTAAACAACTATGATATATAAAAAAATGTTGACTTAATTCCACGGTATATATCCTTTTTTGTGAGTGTTTGAAAAATGACGCTAGCCTCAACTGTTTAATTCAAAAATATATATAATATTAATCAGAACATTATTATTATTAATATATTTTTCTTATATATTTAGTTATAGAGGACGTCCAAATTATTACAACCGTAACTATTCTGTTGGTGGAGGTTATAATCGTGGATACCGAGGTGGTAATAACTACCGTAATCGCACTAATAATCGCATGGGTGGTACAAATGGTAAACACATTTTTTTCAAATATTTTATTAATATATGTTAATTAGTATTTTTTTTTTAGATATGGGTAACTCGAATGAAAATAATGCTGCACCAGCAAATGACAACAATGCAGCTGCTAATTTAAAGAGTCAACAACCACAAACACCAATTGCAACCGGTACAGCCACAAATCCATCAAGCGCTATTTCCTCTGCAACAAAAAAGACAGTTGCACAAGAAATAAACACCCAAGCGCATATGACGCCGGTATTAGCTGGTAAATAATTTTTTTTATCTGTTCTTTATTTTGTTCTTTTTTTGCGTAAAGCAAATATTTATTACAAAAACCATATTTTATTTATATATGGCATTGTTACATTTCACAATACGTGATTCAACTCTACTTTCTTAAGTTTTTGCTTTTGTACATGTTTTTGTACTTGTGGGTTTCCAACCTTCTGGTGCAAGAAGGCAAGATAAAGACTGACGTTTTTGTTAAAAATTCTTTAATTTTAAATTTTCTTTCATAGCAGATTTATTGTGAAAATTGTCGCATTATTGCAAAAATTATTGCATATTGCATATTGCATTGTCTCACAAGTTTGCATATTTCAATTAAATTTCACACTTTATTATACGGTCTATCACTTAAATTAATATTTCATTACTTTATTAAAAGTTTTTTTTGTTTTTGTTTATGTTTTCGTTTTCATAAAAGTCTATGTTTTTTAAAGTATTCTTTCCCAAGCAGTTTATATGTGATATAGTCACTTTTATTGTGTAAACAATGTAATAAACAAAATTTTATTTTTAATGAAAAATTTATAAGTAATTTTCAAACTGTTTCTTTATTCAAAGAAATAGGAAAAAGCATATATCATTATTATCATTAATTGTAAAACATCTACTTCATCTTCTTTATATAAATTGGTAAGGAATTAAAAATATTAATGAGCAAATATACATTTTATATGTATACTATAGGGTGCGATTTTAGAATGATAACGTTTCGGATTTTACGGGAACAATATAGCATTTAGCCGAACAAATCTTTTATAAATCAATTTTTTTGTTAAAACCAGGGATGTTTTAAATAAATGTTCTGATTTTTAATCAAGTAAATACTTAATTCTAAATTATTTAATTTGATTTTTAACTTCTTTTTGTTGAAAAGAACCTTAATTCTTAATATAAACTATTGGTTTCAATAGAGAGGTTTTTTTTTCTCGAACAGTAATTAAATTATTTATTTAAAATAATATTAATGTTTATATTAACTGCTTTTTTCCTTTTCTAGGTCAATAATATTTGCGAGCTTATGAATTTAAAAAATTATTGTTGTAAATAACAGCAATAAAGAAAAAATAAAAAATACTTTTGAGCTAAATGTATTTTTAACTGTTGACGTCCTTCTCTCCCATCTGAAAAATAAACACATTATATTGCAAAATAAAAAAAAAAAAAATTAATAAACGATATGGAAAACTACAATGGAAGGTGGTATCCAACTACCATTAACTGGCGCAAAAACAACGATAGAGGAACTGCAACAAATTGAAAATTGAATATATATTACATAAAAGATTATAAAAAGTTCAAATTAGAAAAAAAAATCCCACATAAAAAGTTGTAAAAGTTAAGAGTTATATATATATAAATAGAGCATAGAGGAGCAAACTTTAATTGAATTAAAATACAGAAGAAATACAAAAAGCATTTAAAAAATATTTAAGAAACGACTTTTCATAGATTTATCTATATATATACGTATACTAACTATATGTTGAGCTGAAGTACGAATTATTTTAATATTGTATTAGAGATGCGGGGGGAAAATTTATTACAAAGAGAGACACATTGAGAGAGAGAGAGAGAGAGGCATAAAGAGAGAGAAAGAGTAAGTAAATTTTAAGTTGATGAAGTGTGAGCAAAAATTACAGTTGGTATTTTAAAAGTATTGTATATGCCAATGAAAAAAATTGTTAAATCAAATAATTGAATATTATTAATTACCTAATAAATTAATAAAACCTATAAAGCTAACCATAAAGATTCTAACAATTTTATGTTCGCATATTTGTTGCGAGTGTGTTTACATTGGTAGTTCGCTCTCTTAAATAAATAAATTTTTAACTCATATAATCCATAAATTGTAAACAAAAAAAAAAAACGTAGAAATTTAGATGTAAACTATAAGTGTACGTTTTATTAATGTTTCTTGGTTTTAAAAGAGAAGGGGAAATAAGAGGAAATGATCTAAAAAAAAAACAAAAAATAATAGAAACAAACTTTTGCCGTTGTAGCTAAAAAATAACTAATTTAAAACAAAATATTTATTTTATTATTATGAAAAGTGAGCGCCTAAAATATATGAAAAATTAAAAATAATAAAACAAAAAAGATTTGAAATTAACTTTAGACAAATTGTAAGTACTCAAATTTTGTATGAAAAGTGAGAATAAATTAAATTTCATTAAAACAATTTTTTTTGTTTAATAACTCCTCTATAACTCTAATTAATCTTCAAATATATTTATATATATTTTTAGAAAACGATACATTTTAAATAAAGTCTTATATTGTAAATGTGCTCACTATCATCCACACAATATGCAAACACATACAAACAAGTAACCACGAAATTAAAAAAAATGTATTTGAAACAAAAAAATTTGAAAAAAAAAAGAAATGAAAATCAATACAAACATTTAAAAGATTTATTAAATAAATTAAAATAAAACAAATATTTGTAATGCAAAAATGAAATTTACTCTTTTATTTGAAAAATGTTTGTAAAAAAAAAACTAGAAAAAAAATGCAAGATACAAAATCTATAAAAACTGTAAGTGAATATTAGAATTATGAGAAGCAAATTAAAATGAATTTGTTATAACAAACAAAAACAAAAAAAATAAAACTAAAAAAGGAATTTTATAAAGGCAAAATAAAAACAAAAATAAACAGAAAATAATTTTGCGAAAATATCATTAATTTAGACTTAAAGAGAAATGAGAATTAAAACATTTGCTTTTACTAAATAAAGCAAAGCAAAAAAATTAAAAATAAAAAAAGAATTAAAACTAATTTAGTGAAAAAGATTTTTGCATGAAAATTAATATGCAAACATAAAAAAAAAAAATACATAAATCTATTTATACGCATAATATACATACAAAATATAAGAAATAAAACCAATTTTTAAATTCTTACCAATAATAGTAAGTTCGTTGAAATAGTTTCAAAAAGATTGATTTCTTTATTGTTATATAATTAAATAAATACAAAAATAATATATTAAAGTGACAGAAGTATTTAATAAACAAAATTTAAAGTTGTAAGTTTGTATGGTAATTTTTGACGAATTTGTTTCAAAGCAACCAAATTATAAAAAAAAAAATAATTAGTTTTATAACAGAAATTACTTTTTTACATTAAAACCTAAAGGATTATACATGAAAATAATTTTTATTAGTTTACTTTTGTTGCCTGAACTTACACAATAGATAATGTGATCACTTTATTAAATTTAATTTATTTTACTAAGTATTTTTTGTGGGTTCAATATCACTTTAAATTAATTGTAAAAAAATATCACTGATCTCGTTGTTGTTGTGAGAACCTATGAGAACCTAAAAGCAGATAACACGAAAGGCTTTACAAGACGAATACATAGGTACTGATCTCGTTAATTTTTCTTAACTCTATCATAATTGAGGTTAGGTTAAAATATCAGTTGGTCTAATTTAGTTCTTCACTGAAACAAGTAACCTTAAATGTTACTTATGAAACCATTTCCGTATGATGTTCTTAATCTAAGCAATGTACAAATCTGTCAGAGAGTTTCTTATACATGTTCGCCTAAGACGCTTGCTCTGCTTCTAGCTAGAGCTGGAAATCTCAGAAGAGGCGTTCTTATTTGTTACACATCTTCACAATTCTTACAATACTTATAGAAGGAGCGTAACTAACTGGCTGACTGATATGTCTATTAAATTTTTACTATATATATAAATAATATAATATATATAGGTAATAATATAGGCTATTATTATTGCCCACTCCTCCATTCTTTCATTATACTCATTATCCTGCTGTTTACTATATTTCTATATCATAAAGTATGATAAAGTTCTTGCAATTAAAGAAAAAAATCAATTATTTTGGAAAGATTAGTTTACGTGAAACGGAAAGGTTGGGACTTTAGTTCGGACAAGGGAATTTTGATTAGGCTATACGAATTTTTATGTCACCTAAGGGAATTTTGTTTCGTCGACTAGGTGAATTTTAACTTGCCCATATGAATATTATGTCGTTTAGATCAGTTATTTAACGTGAACATGTAAGAACTAAGCCAGTATGGCTGTATGACAAGACTTGATATTATATTGGCTTAGAAATGTTCTTATTAAATATTGCTGGTCGTAACTTTCGTTGAAATATAAAAAAATAAGAGTGCTAACAATAAAAATATATTATTAATCTCATTTTAGTTTTTTAAAAATCTTTCAAATCTATATTAATTGTGTAACAGTACATCTGCTCTATGGGAGTCTAAAATTCTAATCATTACTTATCTACATTAATAAATTTCTTAAAAGACTTATACGTAAATAATGGATATATGAGTTAATGGATATATTTAGGTGGTAGCAAAAATTTTTAACAGGTCGTTACTTCAGTGTATACTATTATTAGTTCCTTGACGATTTTATACAAATATAATTAAGAATACTGTTTTATGCATTAGGGTTCCTAGTTAGAGCACTGGGTTTGTGGATTATTCTTATATTAACTGCTAACGAAAGATCTCAGAAAGTATTTAGAAAGATTTCTTACAGGATATACCTATATAACAATTTTTTATTGAAATACAATGGAAGTGATATAAATTAATAGTTTATTTAAATAATATATTCAATCAGAATTTAGAGACTCAGTTGTGTTCTGATGGAGATTTTATTCTAATATAAACTCCCTTAGCAGTTTATGTGTGAAAATTAAAAGAATAATTTTGTCAGCACTTATCGATTATCAGATTCGAAAAATACATTAAAGACCGTGCATTGAAATTGTTCAATATAATTGACAGTCACAATAATCCAACACTCAGCCTCCTGAAAATACACCGAAATCTGATAAACACAGGCAGATACAAAGACATCAGATCCATCATATTATAAAGCCTCGTATTCAGTTATTCTTAGTGTGACTCAAAACTGTCCACAGATAAAATAGAGTTTAGATGTTGTATCACCAACTCAGACATCTGCATATCAATATATATATGACTTTCAGATCAAAATCAAAGCTAGAATGTTTTATATGAATACTTTCATTTAATAATCACATCGAGTAAAAATTGTTAAAGCTATTTCTATCTTATGTAGTAAA